TAGGGTTTGGGGTTTAGGGGCTGGTGGGGAGCTCGGGTTTTGATAGGAACGGGGTTCCTTAGAAGGGCTTCCCTAAAGGGATCTACATCCCAGTATAGGGGTTTCTATGGGGATTAGGGGGCGTTTAGGGTTTGGGGTCTACTTATAGTCTCCATTGTAGGTCTTTTTTGCGTAGCCAGCTCTGTATCTAGGGTCTTATAAGGTCACCCTAAAAAAGAATTACGAGGGAGGCTATAGGTAGGGTTTCAGCCTACCTAGAGTAACCAATGTACCTCTAGAAAAGGGATATGACCCTAAACAGAAAGGTACATGTACCTTTTTCTTTTCAGGTATCTTGGTTACCCCCCTAAACCCTAAACCCTAAACCCTAAACCGTGGGTGGTGTCCACGCTTTAGGGTGCGAGGGTTTGGGACTTGCCCAGAGAACCCAAGACCCCGTAATTAAGGAATATACCTTTAACTTAAGGGGATCTATAAGGGCTCCTTAAAGGGATCTATAAGGGTTTCTATGAGGGAATGAAGCCATATACCTTAAATTATAAGGGCCTTGATATTCTGATTTAAGGCATATCCCTTAAATAAGGGGTACTCTCTGGGGACTTGCTTTTTGAATCTAGGGTTTGCGACTTCGGATTTACGCTTAAACCCTGGGAGTCCTAAGCTCGACCACTAAACCTAAACCCAAAACCCAAAACCCAAAACCCAAAACCCAAAACCCTAAACCCTAAACCCTAAGCCCTAAACCTTAAACCCTGAACCGATTTAGGCTTTAGGCTTCAGGATCTCCGTTTGGGTTTCGGACACAGGGTATAGTATCTCGCTTTGAGCTTCTAGCCCTAAACCCTACACCCTAAACCCTATGCCCCAAACCCTAAACCTTCTAGCTCTAAACCTTAAACCCCCGTGTATTTTTTTTTATATGGTAGTTGGTCTAAACCTCCTGGAGCCATAGTTTATACGAACGGCCAACTGCATAGCAAAGATGCCTTCGTGCAAGTTCCGCGATGGTGCCGCTAAAGTTACTTTTCTTTTTTCGAAAGTTGTCTGTTTAGCCCAGTTGCCGTACAATTAACTAACAGTTATATTTTTGCAGTTACTATTACTGTTACTATAATTGTTACTGTTTTCAATTACAATTACTATTACCATCGCTTATACTATCACTATTACTACTACTATTAAAATACCACTATCTGCATATATATATATATTGTACACATACATCAATGAATCTATGATACAATAAGATAAGAATAGAGCAGATTAGAATAGAACAGAAAAGAATCAAGAATTGGACTAGAATAACATCTGCCATGGCATAACGTTTCGTGATATGATGTAATATGATATAATGTAGTACACTAAATATGTGTATATATTTTAAAACAGCAGAAGATAATATAACATAGCATAAGGTGAAGTAAGATAAAATGCATAATTTCATGCCATACTGAATAACGTGAGATAAAATTAGATAAGATATTATAAGGTAAGGTAAGATCAGGTAAGATGTTATACATGCATACATACATACATATATACATCCATGCATACGTACATACATACATACATACATACATACACACATACATACATACATACAAAAGAACCCCGAATCAACATGTAGCATGACTTTAACATGGCTTTGTTTGCCTTCCAGCCTTTCGTGGTGAGTAACGCCTTCGTAAACGACTTCTATCCCTGGCGACAGAATGCAAAGCCCCCAAAAAGACTCCAAAACCGTGTTTTGGGGTTTAGGGTTTGGGGCTTAGGGTTCGGGTTTAGGGTTTAGGGCTCAGATAACTTCACTCGTTTGTGCTTTTGAAGGCAGCGCACCCTGCCAGATGTAAAGCACATACTGCAAAGGCGAGGCATGCTACCCTACCATATTCTACTTGTGACTCTGAAGAGTTGCTTTTGCGAGGCATTCCCAGGCTGGGCACCACGTGCCCGATCCTGGTTGCGCATGCCAAACAGAGCCAAGCGCCCAGCACAATCGACCTCGGCATGCGAAGTTGGGCGTGGACTGCACATGTGGCGACTGGCTCAAGCTCCAAGCTCTGCGCAGACAAGTGCCCGACTCTCACTCACCAGAGAAGGCTGGCGGGATTGAGTGAGTGCTTTCGACATATGTAGGGCTCGCATTTGAAACAGGCTCCTTGGCCGCCACCAAGCCGGTCGGCTCCGGAAGATACTTCGATTTGGTTCCGGGGCAACGTCGCTCGTCGATTATGTTTCAATATACCTTAGTAGCTGAGTAGGTAACCTTTAACCTTTTGGGGTTTGTATAACCCTGCCATAATTGAAAAGGTTAACCTCTTTTGGGCTAAACCCTAAACCCTAAACCCTAAACCCTAAACCCTAAATACTCAGCCCCTAAGTTTCCAGAAACTGGTGCAAAGGGTAGCAAGGCAGAGCCCTCCATTCAACAAGAAAGAGCCATCCGTAGAATAGCTTGAAAGAAGATTCCGCTTCAGTGCCTTTAACTCTAAAGCCCTACACCCTCAAGCCCCTAACCCTAGACCCCAAACCCTCAACCCCCAAAGCAGGGTTTTGGAGTCTTTTGGGGGGGCCGCCAAGGCGCCACCACTGCCGGCGAGGCATGCGCAGCGAAGTGGGCCACAGCAGGACAGCTTGAGAGCTAGGAGTCGGGAGTAACCCCTAAACCCGGAACCCTAAACCCTTAACACTGAACCCCATAAACCCTAAACCCTAAACTCGAAACCTTTAAACCCTAAACCCTAATCCCTATAAGCCCTGAGCCCTATAAACCCTAAACGCTAAACCCCCAAGGCTTCGTTCTGTGGAGCTTCGGGTGCAGGGTTTGGAGTTTAGGACATGGGGTTTTGGGGTTCAGTGGGGGCAGAGGTGCTTGCAGGTCCTCAAGAGCCTCAACAACCTTAAAGACGTAAGTCCAAGTCCTCAGCCTGAAACCGAAAACCCTACGAAGCCCTGACCCTGAGCTGCAAACCGCGCAGCTCCCTCTAAACCCTAAACCCTAAAGCCTAAACCCTCAACCCTCAACCCTAAACCCTAAACCCTAAACCCTAAACCCTAAACCCTCTCCGAAAAATCCAAACTCACCACGAACCCGAATCCTCCAGCGCAGGTTTCAGGGACTCCACTAATATAGGGTTTAGGGTTGAGGGTTTAGGGTTAATATAGGGTTTAGGGTTTTGGGTTTTGGGTTTAGGTTTTAGGGGTCCTAATAATTAGACTAGGGTTTGGGGGCACATTATATTATAATTATAATAAGGAGCCCCCAAAACCCTATTCGAATGATTAAGGCCCCTACAATGGTTTCCTACTTACCTCGATGACTCTGAGGTCACGGTTTTGGGGAAGCTTTATACACTAGGACCATATTAATTAGAGAGTTTTAACAGGTACTGCGTCGCTAGTTATTCAGACCCCTAATTGGGGTTTAGGACTGAGGGTTTAGGGTTTAGGGTTTAGGGTTTAGGGTTTGAGGGTAGGCGTTCGTAGAAGTTCGGAGTAGTTGGCATTATGCTAGGAAATCCGGAGCCAAAATCGGCCTTACACCCTACACCTTAATTAAACCCTCAACCCTAAACCCTAAACCCTCAACCCTAAACCTTAAATCCCTCAACCCTAAACCTCAAACCCTCAACCCTAAACCCTAAATCCCTCAACCCTCAACCCTAAACCCCAAACTTCAAACCCTAAACCCTAAACCCTAAACCCCTCAACCCTAAACCCCAAACCCTCAACCGTAAACCCTAAGCCCTAAACCGGGTTTAGGCCTCGGACCTTCCATGCATGACTCCTACGGCGGACAGGGGCTTTCGCAGCGATCTCCTGGGGCCTATGCAGGACCCCAGGGGGCTTCTGTAAAGGATTCCTTTTAAAGGGTTTCGGGTTTTGGTTTGAGGGGTTTAGGGTTTAGGGGTTTAGGGTTTAGGGTTTTGGGGTTAAGGGTTTAGGGGTTTAGGGTTTAGGGTTTAGGGTTTTGGGGTTAAGGGTTTAGGGTTTAGGGTTAAAGGAACCCTGAACCCTGGAGTTGTTGTGCGGGGTTTTTGTCATGAATGTATACAGGCATGTGTGCGTATTTATTTTGATATGTATGTATGTATGTATGTATGTATGTATGTATGCATGTAGGCATCTGGGTACGTGGGTAGTGCAGCGGGTTTCAGAACTGTATGTGAGTTGCATATAGGTTGTACTGGGAGCTTCGAACCAGTAGGTGTTCATTTTCGGAGTACTGGTGTAGAGATTTTTGATCTCTCTAGGAGCATTTAAGGTGTACATTGGCCAAGGGGAAGGGTTTGATAAAGCTCGAGACGTTCCTTGTAAAACCACATCACACAGAAGCGTGAATGGTTACTGACATCGTTCTTTAGGGCATTTTAGGGATCCTCCTCAAGAATATACAAAATACATGCCCCAATAACACTATTCTTTTGTGTAAGGCCTCTGTAAGATGTTAGAAGATCCGTCCAACCTTGTAAATGCGTGTAAGACCCGTACCTAAACCCGAAAAGCGAGAGCCTAAACCCTAAGGCCCTAAACCCTAAAGCCTAA